GTATTTGAGAGTAGTTCTTGTTAGAAACTAGACTCAACAATCTACCCTTTTATCACACCATTCTATATTTCCCTTTTCCCTTCAGAAAAAGTCCCTGAGTCTAATCTCCTATGTCCAAGTTTTATCCTGACCATGACCAACAACAACTTGTAACCACCCCCTCAAATGATGACAAACATCCATAACCTACCAAATGACCAAATGCCGCCCACCCTACCTATTGAGAATGTGGGCTTCCTGTTGTCCAGAGGGGCGGGATGACAAAACCATTAGGGGATCAGAAGATAATTGAGATAATTCTCAAGTCCTGGGAGAACTAACTGCATTATTCCTTTGCTTACTCACTGTCTGACAGAAAACCATAGCACTTATCTGAAGTCTTGGTTGCATATTCTGTGAGGCTGGACCATCTCAGTTAGCAGCTTTGAAGCTTTTTTGAATGCAGAATTTTGAAGAGACTAAAACAGAGGTATTCGGAGAGAGTAGACCACCTGGGCTACTTGTTTTAAGTGGTGTCTTATCCTTTTTTTGACAAGAAAAACTTTAAAAGATAACACACATATCTGAATTGACACAAGTATGGAATGGGCAGTGTGCACAAGTTAGCTAATAATGATTTTTTTGTTCTATGCTTGAGCAGGCACAAGGCATCTGTTTAAAGTTTGTTTGGACTGTGTAACCAAATCTCTATCTATGCAATATGAAAGGATGGCATGTAATAATAAGTCATGAGGACCCTGTAGCCAATAAGAATTATCGTGTCTCATCCCGTGTCATATCTGTTCCCATGTCAAGGGATCAGCCTATATATCACCTGTCTTTCTTGGCTTTTTGCTATGTCTGCAGCCAAGATTCCAGAAGGTATCCCCCATTCAAATTTGATATTCATTAATTTTGAAGAGAACCATGTTGTTTTATTTCCTGTGGAATCAAGGGCATAACATCTGCCACAATGCAATGTAATTTTATTTCCATTATGAAGTAAAGACATTCTTAAAAATTTATCAGTTGGTTTAATTTAGCAGTTTCTGAAAATCCAATGTACCTCTTTTATCTCCTGTTTCCTCTCCATGCTTCCTGGTTTCTCCTGTCTTTATTTCTTTCCAGGAAATCCCACCTTTACTGCCTGCTTAGATATTGTCCATTCAGCTTTTTATTAAACCAATAACAGCAACAGAGCTTCACAGAATGCACAAATATCCCACAATAGCTGTCTGTAAGCTGCACTCCTCAATGGGCTCTGCATCAGAACCAGCTTCCAGATTCCTGTCCTGCTTGAGTTCCTCTCCTGATTCCCTTTGGTGATGAACAGCAATTTGGAAGTATAAGCTGAATAAACCCTTTCATCCCCATCCTGCTTTGTGGTCATAGTGTTTCATTGCAGCAATAGAAACCCTGACTAAGATAGTGAATATCAATGTGGTTTTGATTTCAATTTCTCTGGTAGCTAGTGTAATGGAAATTGTTTTCATATGTATTATTTGTACTTCATTTAAAAATGGTCTGAAAATTTATTAGCATATTTATTAACAGGTGTTAGTGTGCATACATATGTGCATGTTTAGGTTTTTGGAAACCTCTTTCCAAAATATGAATCCTTTGTTAAAATATGCTTTAAAAGACATATTTTAAATGCATCAATTCTTTGTTAAAATATTAATAAAGAAAATATTCTCCCAATATGTATATTTTTATTATTTATTTTTAAGTTTAAATTTTGATTAGAAACAAGGTTGCTTCATAAGTCAGTTCCAGGTCCCTCTCCCTTCCCCTCCCCTCCTCTCGTGCCCTCCCCCCAACCCCCCCGTTATCCCCTCATTCCCCCAGGGAGGGTGAGGCCCTCCATGGGGGTGTCCATAGTCTGTCATTTCATATAGGGCAGGGCCTAGACCCTTCCCCAAGAGTTCAGGGTGAGAGTGCATCTCACATTGTTGGATGGGAGTCCAAAGTCCATGTGTATACTCGGGATGAGTACTGATCTACTGCCCAAGGCTCAATAAATTACCTAGGCCTCCTCACCGACATCCCCATTCAGGGGGTCTTGATCAGTCCCATGCTGCATTCCCAGGCTGATGCCTGAGACTCAAAAGTTAACCTTTGTCAGGTCAGCTGTTTCTGGGGGTTAAACCAGCCCAGTCTTAATCCCTTTGGTCATCAGTCCTCCCTCTCTGTCACTGGCTTTCTTGAGTTCAGCTCAGTGCTTAGCCATGGCATCTTGTTCAACCACTTTGGAAATCACTATGGAGATTCCTCAGAAAAATGGGAATAAACCTACCACAAGGCCCAGCAACTCCACTCTTAGGCATATATCCAAAAGATGCCCATTCATACAACAAGGATGTCTGTTCCACTATGTTCATAGCAGAATTATTTGTAATAGCCAGAACTTGGAAGCAACCTAGATGCCCCTCAACGGAAGAGTGGATAGAAAAATGTGGTATGTTTACACAATGGAGTACTATTCAGCAGAAAAAAACAATGGAATCCTGAGATTTGCAGGCAAATGGATGACACTAGAAGAAACCATCCTGAGTGAGGTAACCCAGTCACAAAAAGAGAAACATAGCATGTACTCTCTCATATATGGATTTTAGACATAGGTCTGGGGAGTGCCAGCCTACAATCCCATGGCCAGAGAGTCTGAGAAACAGAAACTTCATTCAGTGGCTGATTGAAGAAGAGGCAGACTCCCATGGCTATTATGTATGTTTTTCCTCACTCTAGCAAATGGCGTGTTTCCTTTGTGGTACACTAGCCTTTCAATGTCAAGAATACTCATTTGTTAATTATTGACACTATTTCTTGAGCAATTGGAGTCCTATTTTAAAAGTTCTTGCCAGTTAAGATGTCTTGAGGTATGTTCTGTACTGGTCTGTACATGTCTTCTTTTTCTCTTTTCTTTCTTTTTCTTTTTTTAAGATTTCAAGTCCTAACTTACTGCCTTTAATTCATGTGGGATTTGTTTTCATATGCTATGGGAAATAAAGATCTAATTCTATTCATCTACATGAGAATATTCATTTACAACACCTTTCATTGAACAGCCTTTTATTTTTCCAGGTACATTTTGAACATTTACCAAGATTTAGGTGACTGTTGATACATGGGTTTGTTTCTAAGTAACCTATTGTGTTCTTGAATCTAATGTTCTTTTTTTATCAGTACTATGATGATTTTTGATTATGGTTCTTTAGTGGCAATTAAAATCAACAATGGTATCAAATTCAGGAGATCATTAAAATATACATTATAAACATGACAAATTAAAATATTTAAATGTAAATATTAAACATATAAATATGTATACTTGTGTGACCTGCCACAACTAAATCAAGATGACATTAAATACCTTAGACCTATAAAAGGCAAGAGAATAAGGTCATAAAAATTCTCTTATAAAAAAATGTTGTTCCAGATAGAACTCTATCACACCTGTAAGGAAAAATTAGTCCCAAAGTTTCTAAAAGTCTTCCATAATATAAAAATAGAAATTACTTCACCAAACTGTTCTAAAAATCTATTGTTACCCTGAATAGAAAGTCATTTGAACACACACATGCGCGCATGCCCACACAGACACACACACACACACACAGACTGAGAGAGAATATTATAGGTCATTATAGCTGGTGAGCTCAAATATGATATTGTCAAGAAAATGTTGACATTATGCTACGTGGAGAAAACTGGAATCATTTACAGTCAAACTGGGAAAAACTGAGGACATCCATTAGCTCCATTCTTATTCAATGCACTGTTTCACATGTTAGAGTAATAGGACAAGACATGGATATAAAAGGGATTCTAGAAAAGGAAGAAATTTCAGACTTTTTCCTTCAGTCAAGGTATCCTTGTTATCAGATAGAATGTTTTAATTATTTTTAACTTCCCTGTGAAATATAGGTAAACTTGTCAACTTTGACAAAGACATATGACAATTTGGTGGGTGTTATGATATATTTTTAAAATAATTTATGGAGTCCTGCCTTTATCTCACCATCTGATCTGAGATATCTTCTTGGTTTTGAGACATGGACCTTGTGATTCCAAGTTGTTTTGAGAATCATTATATGAGATTTTGTTTATATATTGCATTACCTTTTGTTTCATATTATATACCATACCCAGAGCTCTATCGTGTAATCTTTCTTTCCTACTTTGCCTCTCATGAGTTAGATTCCCATTTATTTTATTTTAGGTAATTTCATATCAGCATATTTCATTGCTTTTCTGGTTATGTATGCCTTATCTTTTGCTTGTTTTCCTTTGAAACTATTTGTGTCTTTCAGCATAATGCATATTTCCTATGGATATGAAAATATACAAATTGCATCTTTGTTTTTCATTTTGTGTGGTCATAGTTTTAATTCATACTGATATGTGTGTTCTTTGATGAGATTGGATTGCTTCATCAAATTTTATTTAGTAATCTCATTGGTATAATAAGTGAATTATACAGATAAATTTGTTAAAATTCTAACACTTGACTGCATTTGGAGATGGGTTTCATAAAGGGGCAATTAACTATTCCTATACATTTTCTTTATTTAAATTATCATGTGTTTATGTGTTAGTTCATTCAAAGAATGCAATTTAACAGATTGTGCTGGCTTTTAAGCTTCTAGTTTGTTGGTCACAAATTTATTAATAATTTTAAAGCAAGAAGTTTTCCTTAAAATCTAAAATCAATTATGGCTTCAAACTGTTGCCTTGAATACAGAAAAGTGGCTTGCTTAGTATTCAAGATTGTAACATCCCACAGAGTACCAAAATATCCATGCCATTCACAATTTCTACAAATCGCAGTCTAAGCAAATGCAAGGAATGCATGCACTTTAAATTTATCATAAACAAAGGCACAAAAGGTTGATGAAGGCTGCAATTTTAACAATAGCTATGCCAGAGCAAGCTTGACAGTGCTAAAATCCCTTCTATTTCAGGTACCCAACCATTGGACAATGAACATAGTGAACACAGAAGACAGGAGAAGTGGGGGGATATGATTTTATTTGTGTTACGACATGGGTCTAAAATAATGGGGTACATAAAAATACTGCAAGTCTGTTGTAAGACAAACAGAAAAGAGTATCTAATTTGGGGTGTATAGATGGTTTTCATTTTCTGATCCATAGTAACAGTGTGCTAGACATTTGTGGTTAAGGTTGCTTTAGGATTTGAACTTGCAGACAAAGGAGTACAGTGCGTCACAGTTTTCATCCTTCCATTTCTTGTATGCTACAAGTAAATTAAACAAATCAAATGGAGACAGTGTGGTCTCACCTAGTTCTATGACTCAAGATAGGAAATAAGGGGAACACGTCTATTTCTTCCTTTATCTGCATCCCCAGGTCTTACCCCAGAGCTGAGCAGAAGAAACAAACATCAAGCTTTTTGCCTCTTACCTGTGTTTGAAGTCAGTGACACACAAAAACCACGATTACTAGTACTTGGAGCTCCAGTAGCCCATGATTTGTAGAGAAACAGAGATCCACTGCTCCAATGCCAGCGACGGTTCTACAGTAAAAGAGTTTAACCGAAAAAATGTCACTTAGAAAGTGGTAGAAACACCTGGACCATGTGCATATTCAGAAATGCACCAAAGAAAAAAACCAGAACAAAAATAAATATCTTAGTCCCATTGAGAATCATAGCATTTCTTCACTTTTGTACCTTCCAGAAATACTCAACTCCTTCCACTGTCCTTCAAAAAAAGTACTCTGAATTTTACAATGACCTAGAAGCCTGTATCACAGAAAGCTGTTCCGAGAGACTATTTCTTGAGGAACAAACCTTGTCTCTTTCAGGAGATTGCTAGATAGTACTTGATGGGTTGGTAAAGCAACAGATTTGCCAAAACAGGCAGTATTTTCTTCTCTGTTACCTGAACACAGAAATCATCAAGATATACAATAAATAATAATGAGTACATAACAAAAGCTTCTCAAGAAATCCAACAAAGGAGCACTGAAGAACTTGTGCCTTAGCTATCTCTGTAGCTACCTGCAGTGAACCTCATGTATCCTGACATCCACAAACACATTGCTTGATGTAAAATTGGCTTTTCACAGACTAGACTTGATTCTTCCACTTCTCCCTCACCTGATTATTAAGAAATAAAGATGTCACATACTCACATTTTTGGGGTCATGGAGTCCAATCCAGACATTGGAGACTGTTATGCCACTCTCCTTAACCAGAGAGGCCACAAAGGTGCCCTCAGCCTGGCTAAGTACTGATACCAGGTGGCCTGAATTCATATTCTGGCAAAAGAGCTGTAGGTATTCAGAGAGAAAATAGATTACTCAACAGAGAAGGGTGTTTTTGAACAATATACCAGTCCTACTAAGAAATGTTTGAGAAAAAGGACAGTGAAGAAATGCTTCTGATGATACTGTAACTCAGCATCAAGGTCTCTTCGTGGAAGGTTCAGAATGACAAGGGAAAAACTAACGTTGGTAATGGGGAAAATAGGTGATCAGCCCTATCTTGGGAAGCTACTAGGAAATGTTAATTTTCTCTACCTTCAGATACCTCCCTCCAACCACATTCGTATTTTCACTTACATCTGCCTCCCCCCAGGCCATACAATCTTCAATGAAGTAATAGCAGTAGGAACCATATGCATTAGCACCTTCTGGGCAGTTGATCCTGGCAGAAGGAAGGTCTTTCTCATCCATGGGCATGCTTTCTTCAGCCTTTTGGCCTAAGAAGAGAGAAGGAAGTAAAGGAGATGCTCAGGATGGGACAAAGCCTTGAAGATGAGACAGTCATTGTTGAAGCTTCTCTGTAGGCATGCAAGAATGTAAGACAGCCAGTGGAGTGACTGCCTACTCGACAACCTTTCATTCTTCCCTTTTTCTCCTACGCTTTCTTTCCTTGATACAAGAACTCACTATTAATTTCTGAGGCAATTATCCACAGTTGTTCTCTTGTTTTTATGAAGCTCTTACCTTTCTTCTGTATCTTATATGTTTTAATACCTAAGATCCTCCTTTATATTCTCTGCATAAAGCCTCCATGAAAGGCCTTTAAATTTAACTAGACCAAGTAAGAAAACATTAGTTGCCATGAACAAGGGATAATTTAATATCCAAACTAAACTTCTCTGATATATGAGAATGTATCAGTGAAGCAATAACCCCCAATATTTACCATGCACTTTTGAGCATGCATAAGTATGGAGCAAATCTTCAGGTATGTGGGGATTATGGTGCAACAATCTTACCTTGGCTGCATGACAGGAGCATCAGGCATGGGAACAGGACATAGTATATATTGGTCTGAGCCATGATGAACAGCAGAAGGGCTTAGATTTAAATTCAAAATCAATTCTATGGAATAAAAAAGAGAAGGAAACTCTAGGAGGGGTGAACACAGCAAACTTGATTCCACATAAGCCCTCTTTTTTCTTGATTTTGTAGTTCAAGAAAGCTGTCTGGTATGCCCATATACTCAACTCCTTTTCTAGAGATTTTAGGAGTTTACAGCCTGAAGACTAGAAAAGCAGTCTGGGCCTTTACTGGGCTACCAATTCTTCAAGAAAAAATTTACATCACTTTGTCTCTTTCCCCAGATCTAAGTAGAATAGCTTTATTGAGGGCTCTTCTTTTTGCAAACACACTTACCTGACAACCAGGAATAATAAATCTTGTCAGGCTATGTATTGCTTGGTCTTTTATATTCAACAGGGTAGTGCAGAAGAGCCATGACAATTGGTCAAGGGGAGGGGCAAGGAGTCACAGAAGACTTGTCTTTGGCACAGATGGCATACAGAAATCCTGGCAGCAGGATTCAAGTGTTTCTGGAAGATCATGGGAATGATCACAGGTGATGAATTCTTCACACTTATAGTTGGAAAACATCTCAAGTTAAAAAAAATATATTTTGTTCTATGATGGTATCCAGATTCTGAGTTCCCATGTCCCTGAGAAGGAACCCTTCCCGGAACTCAAGATGGCCAACAAGAGGAGGGAGAGCAACTGGAGCAGTGCAAAGGAGATATGTGACTCTAGAGCAGGTCAGTCTGTGGGGCTTGGAGAAGGGTAGACAGCCACACAGGACATGGAGCATAGCTCCTAAGACAGAAAGTAAGTAGTTTAGTATTTAGAAGACTTAGGTGTCTTCTCTAGCATGCCATTATGTAAGATGTCAGCTGCCCTCATTGCTTACCTACTCCTGTCTTGATCTTCATCTTCTTCCTAAACTGTCTGTGTCACAAATAGTCCATTTCACTTCCCTTCTCTTCAGTTATCTTTAAGATCAACAAAGATTCTATTTCACCTCGTACAACACAACTTCCACAAAGATTCTTAGACTTTCCCTCACTGCATCTGCTGGCCAACACTTGGATTCTGCCATTGGAAAATTTTTTTATTGATCCCACCCATAGTAACATTTCATTTTCTTTTTAAATTAAGGAATATACCAGGAAGAGTTATCCTTCTTCTTTTCCCAAACCACGCACTAAAATTCACCTAGAATACAGCAGAACATGGATAGGATCTAGCCACTATGGAAATCAGTGTGGACATTCCTCAGGAAAATGGGACTCAGTCTACCACAAGACCCAGAAATTCCACTCTTAGGCATATACCCAAAAGACAGCCATTCACACAACAAGGATGTCTGTTCCATTATGTTCACTGAAGCATTATAATATGTAATAGCTAGATCCTGGAAGCAACCTAGAAGCCCCACAACTGAAGAGTGGATAGAGAAAATGATGTACACAATGTAGTAATACTCAGAGGAGGAAAACAATAGAATCTTGAAATTTTCAGGCAAATGGATGGCACTAGAAGAAACCATCCTGAGTTAGGTAATACAGACAAAAAAGGACAAACATGGTATGTACTCACTCATATATGGATTTTAGACATGGGTCAGGGGAGTGTCAACCTACAATCCCAGTGCCAATGAGTCTGGGAAACAGGGAGGTTCCCAAGAAAGATGCATGATACCCCAGAGAAGTGTAATGAGGCAAGATCTACTGAGCAGATTGGGAACATCATGGGAGGGAAGAGGGAGCCAGGAAGAAGAGAGGGGGATAAGAGGACATGAGAGGAAGATATGGGGGAGCAGGTATAGGGTTGAGTCAAGGAGGTAAGAATAGAGGAGAGCAGGATGAGAGATTAATTAATTATAGGCTTGAGGAGAGAGCTGACACTAGTGAGATCTCCAGAGATCTACAAGGATAACAACAACTGGCAAACTAAGCAATAATGGAGAGACTACATTAATTGTCCCTCCTTGATGGTAAGTTGATGACTACCTTATATGCTGTACTGGAACCTTCATCCAGTGACTGATGGAAGCAGAGACAGATACCCACAGCTGAACACTGAAATGCAAGCCTGGAAACTAGTGACAGAGATGGAGGAGTGATAAGCAAAGAGGTCAAGACCATGATGATGAAACCCACAAAGACAGCTGGCTGGATAGTGGTAGCTCTTGAATCCCAGACTGATGGCTTAGAGGCCAACAGGGGACTGATCCAGACTCCATGAATGTAGTCTCAGTGATGTGGCCACAGAAATCACTGGGGCCTTTGGTAGTAGATCAGCGTTTATGAATGATCTTTGGGAGACCATTCCAAATAGAGGGATGCTGGACACATGGGGAAGGGCCTAGGTCCTGCCTTGGATGAAATGACACTTTGGAGATCCCCCCAAGGAGGGCCTCTTGCTCCCTGGGGAATGATGTGGGGATTAGGTGGGGGGCTGGGAGGGCTGGTAGAGGGACAAGGGAGGAGGGGTAGGAGAGTGAGCTGGGATTGACATGTGAAGCATTCATGTTCTAATTTAAATTTTAAAAAAATTAAAAAACTAAAATACTAAAAAAATAAATTTGGTATTGATAAAAAGTATTTTAGAGGGGCTGAGGAAATGCCTTAGAAATTTCAACCTCTTGCTGCTCTTAAAGAAGACCGAGTTCAGTTGCTGTTGTCCATATCAGGCAGTTCACAACCTCCTGTAACTCCAGCTTCAGAAGATCCAATGTCGCCTTCTTATCCTCACAGTTACCTACACAAATGTGCACAAACTCACAAACACATACACAAAAATAAATTTAAAAATAAACGTCTTGTAGAAAAGATTTTGGAGTTATCTAGACCTTAATATTTGGAGAAAATAATTATGACTCTAGATCAATTGTTCTCAACCTCAGGGTTAAAGGATTTTTTCAAAGGGGTCAATTAAGACTATCAGAAAGCACAAAAATTGTATTATAATTTATACCATTAGCAAAACTACAGTTACAAAGTAGCAAAACAATTTATTTGTGTTTGAGGTTCACCACAACACAAGAGTTGCAGCATTAAGAAGGTTGACAACCACTGCTCTACAGTAATTGTAGCCTGTGTTCATATATTCTTCTTCCAATAATGGTGCACTGTTTCATGACTCTTTTGTAATAAATTTCTAATCTAATTCTGGTGGTTGAGTGAACTCATTTTCTGAGTTACAAAGATATATTACTGTGGTCCACATTTCCTCTCTAGCTGTCAGCATTGGTGGCATTCTTAACTGTGTTCCTTAGCACAATATCATTTCCATCTTCTGAGACAATAAAGATTCCTTTGGTAATTTCTATATTTTGAATTTCTGTATCCTCTGTTTTTAATCAGATCAAAATACTAGATTTTGTTCATCCCAAATATTTCCATAATCTCCATCTTTATAAAGTCAAGAACAATTGAATATTGGCAACAATTTCATCTTCCATAATTTCTGTTTCTGAAGAATATAGTATCATTGCAAGGTTTATACCCCATCTCTTTTACAGGCTCTAGCCACACTCAAAGAGCATCTATTGTATGTGATACTTCTTGGGGGTGAATCTGAATTCACACATAGAATACATGTAAAAGAACTTTCAACCTGAGAACTCTGCCTGTAATTTTGCAGGTCTTTCTCACTTTGACTAATTTACCCATTCTACTACCAACAGCACCAGTAATGGCTTAATCCACTAAATGCTTGTCTGAACCTCTTTTGGGGAAATTTAAATTGTTCAAGTTATAGCTCGTAATCAACACAACTAAGTCACTGGTCCTTGATAACATCTGAACCTTAACCCATGCTCCTACACTAAAGTCCAGTAGAGTATTACCTCCTCTTTTAAATTTCAATAGCCTTAGGTGCCTTCTCATGCCAATTAAAGTTGGGGGGATAGAGAGGATGGTTCCACTGTTACCTTCCCTTGCTCTTGCAGAGGATCCAAATTCAGTTTCTAGCACTGATACCAAGTAGCTCACTAAAGGCAAGGATGTAATTATTTCACTAGACCCAAGATAAATGATAAATGGGTGCTTATTGTGGAACAATTACACAGAAAAATACAAAGAACCACAGTAGCACTTCTCTGCCCATACTGCCAGATTGACTGACCCATCAGAAATATAAGGAAAGGAAAGCCATGCTTCAAGCTTCCCTCTTTCAGCTTCCATCTGCCTGAAGCCACACACAAAGGGGAGCGGCCACTGTTACAGGTTCATAGACCAGAGGCCTACAGCTCACAGTTGCTTATAACACTTCCTCTATAGGATTAGATGCCCAGTCTAGTCTCTGAGAGCATCTGAGTGTGCGTGCACACACACACACACACACACACACACACACACACACACACACACACACACACATACATAAAATTAAAAACTAAGAGTAAAATAAAAATCAAGAAGGGGGACTGCCTTTGTTTAGTATACTTGCAGTTTGTATTACACTGCCTTGTACCCCCTGGTAAGGAAGCAATTCTTAAGCCTTCATTGTCTCTTTTGCCCATCATATAAAGCTCTTGATATATTTCATCATTCAGAATTCTCAGAACAAGTGGAATTATAAGGTTAATGAACTTAGTTTTTTAATCCCCTTTATTTAAATGAGCAACTACAGTCACTTAATGGACTTTAGGCATGGACTGCATCTTTTAATATGAACAAAAATTGTGATGCCAACAGTGCTAGTCACTTAAAGTTCTGGAAAGATCACTCCAGGGACAAGCCATAACTCTAGTAGCCCACAAAGAGTTTGAGTTGTTAATAAAATATTCCACTGTAATATTTGAAAGTTATAGAGATTTCAAATAAAAATATTCTAAGGATTGTTTTAAAATATCCAAAATTTCTAAAAGTGGAAAAAATTTAAAATGTCTTCCTTGAAGTATTTTTGAGGACAGGCTAATAAAAGCATAAATAACCTAACCCTTAGCTTTAATCACACTGTTTTGCCTGCTTCCATGCATATTGTTTTATAAGATAACCTAAAGCACAATTCCCTTCTTTAGATGCAGAGTTTTTCTATGTCCAGATGTTCTAGAAGAATGCTTGTCTAAGACTCAACCGCTCTTTGGATAAAAGTCCCTGGGATTCTAATTTTTTTCCAGGTAAGAAAGTGAGCATATCCTCAGTTGCAATTGTGTTAGACATATTGTTACTATGAAGTTAGTAGAGTTATAGGTACAAGACAGGGGAGAGAGTAGATAATTATGCCATGGTGGGATAAGTAGGGAAAGGATGTCAGAGGGACAGTAAAGGACAACATGACTGACAGCTGTAAGAAGAAAAATGAACTTTTCTAGAAGGAGGGTTTACTATGGAAATTAATGGGTGTGACTCAAGTTCCTTTAGTTAAGATGTTTTCTTTTAG